AAATATAAAGAGGAAAGACATTCTTTCAATGAAATAATAGTATTAATTTCAGTATTTATTAATAAACAGAAATATAGAATTAGGAAAGCAGCAATAAAAACACAACATAATAAATTTCTGTGTTGTGAATAAATTTTGATTATCATGTAAATAAATGAAATTGAGAAGTAGAAGTTACTTTTATCGTCACATGTTTCTCCCTAATCTCTAGTGTAGGGCTCTTTGGGAGGGTGGCAGTTAACTGAAGACATATAGAAGAGGGAAAAAACTAGCAAAGAAATGAAAGTGAAAAGACTAAAGTACTAGCAAAGAGGAGACAGTTTCCTATTGTTTCTGAAGATTGTATGAGAAGGGCTAATGAAAACTATTTAAATAGTGACATGATATTATGAAGCCAGTTACAAATATTTATGTATACAAACCAATGTACCTATGTTTAATTGTTTAGTCACACATCACTGTCAGTCACAAAATCCTACTGACTATAACACAGGAAAGAAAGAGCAGGTGCTGGGGAAATGGCTGAGTAGATAAAGTGATTATCTTTATAATCTGCATAACTTGAGGATGTAAGTTCAAATCTCAACCCTCATGTAAATGCCCAGTGGGCATGGTGATCCTTCATACATACCCTCATACACACTGCAAACACATATACATATATAAAAAGAAAAGGTTCACAGAATTGCTATAAAATATAAATACTTGAGAAAATTCAGTATAGTACATTTGAATATTCATAAATAATAAATTAGCACTGTATATTTCACAAAAGGATACTTCTAATATTTCAAAGAAGTCCATTCTACCTTGAAACTAAATTGCAAATGTCTAATTAATATCAAATAACCAGTGGCCTTTCTTTTTAAATATGTATTCTAAACTTGTGCACACATAAATTTACACAGGTATGTAACATATATAATTTATAAATACATGCATCATAAAATATGAATGATTTTTCAAGAATACATAATGTAAGAAAACAGTTTGTGTCATGGCAAGAGATGTTAATTCTATAACAGTTTTAATAATATGGCTCACAATGGTGAGTAAAAGCAGTGTAGCTGTTAAAACATAGGTGGGTAGAGGATGTAGTGGCCTTATCATCAGTCCAAAATCCAGAAGAATAGATGTGAAGGATATCAGAGTTCAGAGAAAGGATTTTTGTCACATGAGGTTTCCATGCACTATGCATCAAATAGGAACCAGATTGAAATAGCAACAGTATGTTGAACCTGATAGTCTAGATTCAGAGGATGGCACTGTGTGGGGAGATGCTTCAAAATATATATGTATTGTACCTACTTGTTGAGTAACTAAAATCAATTAAATTTAATAAAAATTAATTTAATAAATTAAGAATTTCAGCAAAAATATGACAAAATAAAATATAATAAGATAAAACAAGACAAATCAACAGAAAGAAAAGAGACCAAAAGAAGGAACAAGAATCAGAGTTCGTTCACAAACTTGGGAATCCCATAAAAGTACTAACCTAAATTATTTTTTCTCTTCCTCTTGTGTCAGATGACATTATCACTCATTTAAAAGAAAAAAATTATATAAATAAATGTATTTATTACTAGTTTAAAAGTCAAAATAAATGGTAGAAAAAAACAAGCTTTCCCTATCTTAATGAGTATTTGCAATGAGTGGATGGTTACATATATTTTATACTGTATTTTGAGTATAAACTTATATATACTTTATGACATGAAAGATTTTTTTTACAAAAATCAAAGAAATAGTATATTATCTTACATGTATTAGTGTTTTTAAAATTCCAAGATATTTAAACTTTATGAAGCAACTAGTTGATTTTAATTGCTTTTGGATATTATCATAAAATTATCATTTCTCACTTCACTTTCATCCTCCAAACCTTCCCATATATTCTTGTCTTTTTTTTTTTAACTCAGGACCTCTCTTTTATTAATCATTGTTACATGCATATAAGTATATAGTTGATTTTTATTAAATCATTTTAGTCAAAAACATTGTCTAAATTCCTATTGTGAGTGCATACCGTAGATAACTTGCTCAATTCCTTAAATGGTCAGTTGTTTAGACAGTCACTTTAAGCTTGCACTGATGATATGAAAGTATGAGGAGTATACATTTTTAAAAGTAAATGCTTAAATATATGTACATATTTGCATATATATGTATATAGATGTAATAATATTTAAAAATATAGGCCATGGATTTAGGAGGCACAGGACACAGGAGAGTTTGAAGTGGATGAGATGGGTGAAAGTGATGTAAATATAGTGTTAATGTATGAAGCTCTCAAACAATATTTTTAAGACAAATATTAGCTGTGTATAATTTAAATAAAGATAATTTTTATCATTTTCATTTTTATACTCACAAAAGAAAAAATGAGATAAATTATATATTTAAAAATCTCTAGCTCTACCCCTGGTGTATGAGCTGGGTTTTTGGAGCCCATTACCTATGGTGGGACACCTTGCACAGCCTTGATGCAGGGGGAGGGGCTTGAACCTGCCTCAGCTGAATGTACCAGACTTTGCTGACTCCCCATGGGAGGCCTTACCTTTTTGGAGGAGGGGATGGGAGCCTGGTTAGGGGGTGAAGGCTGGGGGAGGAGTGGGAGGAGGGATGAGAGGAGGATCTGTGGTTGGTATGTAAAACTGTTGCTAGAGTTTTTCTGCCTGGCCCACAGTCAGGGCAAATCTCTCTCACCCGCCAGTCCCAAGCCGCTCAAACCCGATCAAGTAAACACAGAGACTTATTTTGGTTACAAACTGTATGGCCGTGGCAGGCTTCTTGCTAACTGTTCTTACAGCTTAAATTAATCCATTTCTATTAATCTATACCTTGCCACGTGGCTTGTGGCTTACCGGTACTTTACATCTTCCTTGTCCTGATGGCGGCTGGCAGTGTCTCTCTCTCCCAGCTTCCTGTTCTCTCAATTTTCCTCTCTGTTAGTCCCGCCTATACTTCCTGCCTGGCCACTGCCAATCAGTGATTTATTCATTGACCAATCAGCAACACATTTGACATACAGACCATCCCACAGCATAAAACAAATAAAAAAATTTCTTAATAAAGAAAAAAGTTGTAAAAAAAAGTTGAAAAAAATCTCTAACTCATAGATATAAAACACAGTATTAGGAGCTGTTAAAAAAACTATTCAATAGAAATCCCCTAACTAAGCTGGAAACAAAGCAAGAGATGAAGGTAAAAACAAAGTAATTACAATAGAAAGAGATGTGTTACTTCCATGGTTTACTATTCATTCAAGCTCAGTCTTGTGCTGTTTGCACAAATTAGAATTTATACAGATAAGCAAATTCTGTTACTCCATGGCGGGTGAGATAATTCTAATTCAAATATGACCTCATAATACCTTTGCCTTCAGAGGCCAGTCATTTTCTCCTTAGAATTACCAAATGCCAATAAAACCCAGGGGAGTCAGTGACCTTGGAGACTACTGTGTAAAGAATACTAGGAATTCACACTGAAAAAGAAACATCACAGTGACATATATACGCTAGCACCACTCACTAACTTAGCGAAGAGCCTTATAGAGAATGATAGCACTCAGGCCATGATTTCTTCCATAACCAGGTAAGAAGAGACATTCTACTGATGGTTTGCAGTAGACCCTCCCTCAAGTCTTCCATTAATTTTCCTACTCAGAAATTGTCCAGCTGTGCTGAAGCTACACAAAAAAGGTGATGCCCACACATACAGCATTTCAACAATCCTTTGCACAAAGTAAATATTCCCTCAACTGCTCCTGGGCTCTTGCAAATGCTAGAGAAAATTTGATTAATAGAATAAACTGTTCTTGTGCAAAAATAACATTTTTTGATTGAGAATTGTCTTTCTCATAAGAGAAATTTTGAACTGTTTGAAAGAAAGCATATGTCAAATACAGACTCGTGAATGGAGACAATACACAAGAAGGACGGCAGTCTTTTCAAGATGTGAAATTTAGAAAAAAAATTGGTTCTGATGGGACTTCATGTGTTTAATAACTTTTCCTTTTACTATGGATGTTTTAGGAAGGAAAATAAGCTTTATTTCAGTGAACTTTCAAAGGAAAGTACCCTGTGCCAACAAAGTCCTCATTGTTTTCTTCTCAGCATCCAAAGAGAGAACGCCACGGAGGACTGGAAATGAGGTGCAATCTTTACATTCCCACAGCCGAAAGCTGAACAATATTGATCAGTATTAATCATTGTCTGGTTTCCTATTTCATTTGCCTCCAAAAATGCTGATCTGAATTATTGAAATTGTTTTAATTACCCAGGTGAGTTCATCAGATTCATTCTACCACCCTTCTTTCAAAATGGGCTTTGGCTCTACCAATGAGAAGTTAGATGGTTGGGGGAGAAACTTTCTGGTGGCATAGATAAATAGGTAGGTAGACAGACAGACAGACAGACAGACAGATAGATAGATAGATAGATAGATACATGTATACATACATGCATACATACATACATATATGTATACATAGATGATAGAAATATATTTATATGTATATAGCAAAATAGTAAATATATATGGTTGGTGTCTAGGTTTTGAAGAATACATCAGTTAAAACATATATAATATTAATTTTAGGTTAAAATGGAGAAAAGTAAATTAAAATGATAAATCTCCATATCACCCACACCAAACTATTAGAAAAGTTTTCTTATTGGCAATATGATTGTGGATGATAGGGTAGTGTTTTTTCTGTTTTAGATATTATATGCTAGGGAAATATCAACCACTGAACAATAACCACAGCCCAATTAGTTTATTTTTATTTCTACAATTTGCCTTTGGTTGCTTTAGAAAATTAGAAGCCATTGGGAGAGTTGAAAATTGACATATTTGCTATGCTACTGTATTGAACAACATTGTCTCACAAACCATAACACAACACAGTTGTATTTGATTACAATGTCTTTGTCTCCCCCAAACATTTTTCTTAGTCTTGTCTTGCTTTTGCTTTTCAGCTGTTAACACTTGAAGAAATGATTGGGAGGAACAACACTGGAGTGACAGAATTCATTCTTTTAGGGTTGGCAGTCCATAGAGAGATAGAAATCATTCTCTTTCTGCTCATTCTAGTGGTCTACAGTCTGACTTTGGTGGGAAATGTAGGAATGATTACATTAATCAGATTGGATTCTCGACTCCACACCCCCATGTACTTCTTCCTCAGTAATCTGGCCTTTGTGGACCTTTGCTATTCCTCTTCAGTGGCCCCCAAGTTCCTGGAGACCCTCCTCACCAATAGAAGGTCTATATCTTTCTATGCCTGTGCAACCCAGCTCGGTTTTTTCCTGAGCTTCTTGATTTCAGAGATGTTCCTCCTCGCAGTAATGGCTTATGATCGCTATGTGGCCGTTTGTAATCCTCTGCTGTACATGGTGGTCATGTCCCAGAAGGTGTGCCTACGGCTTGTAATGGGTCCCTACTTTTACAGCTTTGCTGTTGCTTTGCTCCACACAGTAGTTACATTCAAACTGATCTACTGTGGTCCCAATATAATCAATCACTTTTATTGTGATGATGTCCCTTTGATGGCTCTTGCCTGCTCAGACACCAGCCTCAAGGAGATTTTGATATTCATCTTTGCTGGATTCAACATGATCAGTTCTTTGACCACTGTCCTGATTTCTTACTTATACATTGTGGCTGCTATCTTGAGAATCCAGTCCACAGAAGGGAGGTGCAAAGCCTTCTCAACATGTGCTTCTCATCTCACTGCTGTGACTATATTCTATGGGACACTCATCTTCATGTATCTGCAGCCAAAATCAAGCCATTCCCTTGACACAGACAAAATGGCCTCAGTGTTTTACACAATTGTCATTCCCATGCTCAATCCCATGATCTACAGCTTAAGGAATCAGGAGGTAAAGAATGCTCTGAGGAAAGCCCTTGAAAAATGCTATGTAGTACCTCTAAGGCACCTTAAGAAAGGAATTTCTTGATCAGGACCAACGTGATGTACAGACATATCTTTTGTATCTCTGAAATAAACTAATTTTTATCATACTTCTAATAAGTAAAGACCTTCCATTTTCTACGTACATGTTAGAGTTCGGTAGCATGACAAACACAATGGAAGGTAGGTAGAGAAGTAGACAGATAAGAGATAAATGATACATGATGACAGACAGACAAATAGATTGATGATAGATGGATGAATAGATAGAGATACATAGATAGATTGATAGATAGATAGATAGATAGATAGATAGATAGATAGATAGATAGATAGATAGATAGGTAGGTAGGTAGGTAGGTAGGTAGATAGATAGATAGATAGATAGATAGATAGATAGATAGATAGACAGACAGATAGGCAGATAGAAAGATAGATAGATAGAAGATATATTTCTAGGGGATGACTTAGTTGATAAAGCACTTATCCTACAAGCATGCAATCCTGACTCTGAATCTGCAGTTCCCACTTAAATTTGAACATGGGAATGGACATCTATAATCCCAGTACTCCTATGGGAAGATGGGAGGGTGAGACAGAAGTATCTCAGAAGCTTATAAGCCAACCAACATGGTATAGTCAAGGATGAACAGTTGGAGACCTTGTCTCAAACAATGTAGGAGGTGAAAGCCAACATCACAGGTTGTTGTCTGACCTCCACACAGATATCTTGGCACAGGTGTGCCTGTGCTTACACATGAACACACACACACACACACACACACACACACACACACACACACACACACACACACAAGATTTTTTTTCAAATGACACTAGTTTAAGGTTGTAATAAATGATTATTGACTGCATGTGTAGCTCTGATGTCACTGAACAGAAAGCTCCTATACAGTTGATAAATCTAGCTTTTGGCTTTCTACTTTCTTTCCTGTTTAGTACATTAGTAAAAGATAATAGATGAACCAAAGATGTGATCTTCTAAGAAAACTTTTTAGAATTTATTTCTTCTTTTTTTGTGCAAATAAGTGTTTTGTCTGCATGTAAGTAAGTTGATCATGTGCATATCTGATATGCTTGAAGACTAGAAGAGAGTGTCAGATTCCCTGACCCACCAGTTGGTGCTGAGTCTTTAACCCAGCTCCTATGTAAGAGAAGCAAGTGCTCTTAACCACTGAGATATTTCTCCAAGCCCTTGGATATCTCATGATCCTATGTAACTTCTTGCTCCTTATCTGTACCATATATGCTAGCCATCACTTTTTATTGTACCATTAACAACCACAGTTGTTGTTTCTTTTGGAAATTACTTTATGTAGCAGTTAACTTTATGTGCCAAGTGGACTATACAATGCCTACATAGTTGCCAATTCTTTATTTCTAGGTGTGTCCATGGGGGGGTTTCTAGAAGACATTAGCACATAAAATCTGCAGAGGAGGCAACTCTCATTAATGTGAGCAGACATAGCCTGATCTGTTGAAGACAGAAACAGAACAAATAATGTAGTGCAAGGGTGATTTTTCTCTTGCCTCTTTTAGCTGAGATATCTGCCTTCCCTCAGGCACCATATTGTGGTTTTTGAGACTTTAGACTCTGGGACATATGCCAGCTCATCAGCTTTCAGCCTGAGCCTGGAAGATATTTGCGTATACAAGATATACACCTCATATTGAATTCAATCATCATCTACCAATACATATGATATTTATTTGCAAGTAACTTATTTTGGAACATATCAGGTCTATCTATCTATCGTCTATCATCTGTCCATTTACCTAATCCCTTTATATTTATCACTTTAGAAAAACTTTCTTGGAACCAATTAACACATACACTGACAAGTTGTCATTTTCATTACAGAAATCTGAAAATCAGGTTCTGGAGACTATTTCTTTCTGTTACCTATCTCAAGCAAAACTGAAAACTAATGTCTCAATTACCTAAGCAAAGTAGTGATTTGAATTTTTTTCAATTCTTGAAAAAAATGAAGATATTGCAATATAATGAGTGTAAAATGCCATGTCTTAAAACTAATTAGCCAGTACTGCAGCTGTCAGGAGTCTAAGAGTCGAGCTTTGCTTGGGAGTAGTAGTTAAGGGACAGTAACACAAAACACATAATGAGGTAGCTCACATGTATGAGAACGTAATAATCCATGCCTTCTAGGAGTAACGTTTTCCGTCTGGGAGGGGACCTTTGTACAAACTACATTTTTGAAATCATACTTTAAATTATTTAAAAACTAGTAGGTCTTCATGGGTTTGTCCATATATGGTTAATTTTGTTTAACTCACCACTTCCCTTCTATTCCTCATCTCTCTGCCTCCCTTCCATAAAAACCTTTAAACACAATATCCCCTTGACATCTTTCTTTCATATCTCAAGTATTCTATTATCTCCTCCAAATATTTTAATTGTGTTTCAAGAGAGTAAGCTTCTATTTGTCTTTTGTATATGACCTTCGTTTTGATTAACCCATCTTTCACACTGCCCCTTCATTTTCTTGAAATTTATGCCTGCCTCCATGCTTATCTGTTCCCAGAAGTTCCCCTTTCTATTTTCATTTTACCTGTCTTCTAATATCTATGTTTCCTAGTGAGGACTCTTTAGAGTTTCCTAGTTTTCAAATGTGTTCATGTCAAACACACAAAACAACAGAATTGAAACTAGAATCCACATGAAAGAAAATATGAAGTATTTGTCTTACTGCATCTGGATTGCCTCACTCGGTGTCTTAAGTTATGTTACAAAAAGAATTAAGTTAGGAACTCATCTTTGAAAATTGTATGGGCTTAAGTCATTCTATATTATATTAGAACAAATTTTATGATTAAATTTGAATGTTAGAGATTAATGAGGTGACGTTTTCATCACATTGAACTATGTGTTTTGTGATTTTAAATTTAAAAAGTCTTTTGGATGTTAAAATTCAAATTTCATGTCAAGTACATGTGATATTAAATATTACATTCCTTTCCAACCATTTAAATATGTATTTTAGTGCCCAGGCCGCATGAAAACAGAATGAACAGTAAGCCAGATTTAACCCATAGGTAGCACTTAGCCAAACCACAGTCTGGCTGAATAATGTCTTGACATTTCTATTTCAACATATCCTTTTGCTTTCTGAAGTATTATTATTTTATTAAATTTTTTACATTGTACAAATGTAGGGTTGATTGTAATGTTTTGATATATGCCTGAATTGTGTACTTGTCAAAACAGCATAACTATCACAACTTCCACCCGAAACATTCGCCTTTTCTCTGAGTTGAAACATTCAAAATCATCTTCAAGATATTCCATAACATAATTATGAATGACTATAGTTACCCTGCTATGCTATACAAAACTAGGAATTATTTATGCTTTCCAACTACTGCTTTAGATTTTTTTAACAATGTTCTTCTCTCCCATCCTCTCTAGCTCCATTAAGCCATTACACATTTTTGGCAGAAAAGTAAAATGGTATGGACTTTATTGAAAATCACAGGTAGGTTCTTCAAAAAAATAACTATTGGACCCAGAGATCCTACAGTTAGTCACAGACTCAAAAGAAATAACATCAATGTGTTTAATTATTTTTCAGCTCTCTTCACAGTATTAAAGGCAAGGAATTAATAAACTAAGTGTCCATCAATAGATGAATACATCATACTGGTATATATGAAGCAATACAATATCATTCATTCATTAAAATATGAAAATTTGTCATTTTCACAGTATAGGCAAGCATGGAAGTCTCAATTAAGTGAAAGAAATAGCTACAAGAATAGTTGTATTACCAGAACTCACTCATAATGAATACATGGAATGAAGTAAGGTACAATGACTACATTTTCAAATTTTCGAAATAATAGAGAAAATCAACCTAGAGAAGGAACAATGTATTTAGGCTCACAGTCTCAGAAATCTTAGTACATGATTCTTTGGGCACATTTCTGTGAGCCTGTAGCAGGTCAGAACATCATGGTGGGAAGGCTGCAATGGAAGCAAGTAGACTGAGGAAGGCACTGGGATCAGAATGTCCCCTTCCAAGGCACACCTCAGTAACGGACTTCTTCCATCTGGGCCCATGCCCTAAGTTTTCGTCACCTCTTACAACACCAACAGTTGATATCAAAGTCTTTTGCATATGGATTTTGTGGAGATTTATTTTTCAAGCCATAAAAATGGCTAAATTATGGTTTTATATTTTAGAATTAATTTTTACATATGTCCCAGCCAACTTCATTAACCACCATCTTAAACATTAAAAATCCATTCAACTTTCTTCTCAAGGTACTAATTTAACCATTGGAGAGCTTCAATAGTTCAAAGAAGTAAGTGATAACTCAAAGACATAACCTGAGCCAGAATATGATAATCAGTAGAAGGAAGCATCAGGGTACCCTAAGTGTAATTAAAGATTCATCTTTAAATACAATGATATAGCAAGACAGAAGTTAGGGTGTGGATAATACATGAACTCATGTCATGATCCAACACAACCATTTCAGTGACAGTACCTTTAATTCCTTGATGATTTCACAAATGTATATTAATTTTAACCACTTTCATCCCCATTATTATCTCACATGCCCCTCCCTCTCCTTCTGATACCTTTCTTTTTTCCAAGAAGTTCCCTTCTTATTTTTGTGTAATGTATGGGTGTACGCATGTGTGTGTGTGTGTGTGTGTGTGTGTGTGTGTGTGTATTAGTTTTATTAGATTTGCTTGCATCTACACAGGAGCTTATTTATTGGAAGAAGGGGATCAATGATGATGCCATTGGAGTACATGATCACCTTTTCTTCAACAACTAATTACTACCATTAGTCCTTCAGAGAGCAGAGGAACATTTTTTAAAAGATGAGGAGAAAGTCTATTGACTGAAGCCTTGAATAGAAAGTTTTAAGTGCTTTCCATGGCTAAAGCTTAGTATTAAAACTACACTTAGCTGAAAATAAAAAGATGGAAACAAGGTTACACAGTTTGAGTATCTATTTTTTCTCTAAAATAGAAACAGAAATAATGTATACTGAAGG